GCCGTGGTCCCCACTGCACCAGCTCCTCTTCCAGCACAGCTGAGGAGCTGAGGAGCCACCTGCCGCCAGCTGTCATGCCGCAGGGCCAGAGACAGGTGCGCAGCAGCAACATGTCCCTCTTCGGCTGGAGCTTCGAGAGCCAGTGTGCGTCATCTGTGTCCTTCCCTGTGGTGGGGTCCGTGCCTCCTCAAGTTGAGAGGTGCCCCAGGGGCCTGGATCCGAGGGACTGACGAGCAGACCCCTGCCGGCCCTCCCCGCAGCCGGCACGTGAAGGTTGTTACATGGCACACCCGGCCTTTCCTGACGGCTGCAGGGCGTCCACACCAGCCGTGCGCCGGGCCGGCGCGGCTGCAGCTCTGCCCGCAGGCCTGCTCCCCCCGCCTCCGTCTCAGGGAGGAGCCCCGCTTCCTGGCTCTCGGGCCGGAAAGCTGGGCACCATCCTGAACTTCTTCCTGCCCCCGATGGCCCGTCGGGCAGTAGGCCTCCTCAGGGCGCTCCGGCCCGCCCGCGCCTGCCCCCACTGCCGCCAGCAGAGGCCCGGCCAGGCCTCTCGCGCCCGGACCGCTGCGCGGCCTCGAACTGCCACCGGGTTCACCGCGTGCTGTGGCCGATGACTGTCTGCCGGCCCCAGGAGGCGTCGCTCTGGGAGAGCAGGTCCACGCTGGAGTCCTCAGCACCAGGCCCACTGTGGGTGTTACGGGAACCCGTAGCGGGAAATGGGGGACCTGACCTAGTCCGCGGGTCAAGGAGCCTCTTTCTTCCTGGGGAAGTGGCATGCGCTGCCACATCCTGCAGGCCATTGTGTGGCCGAGCGCGCTTGGACGGTCTTGGAGAGCTGTCGCCAGCCTATCCAGCGGCTGCCCGGGGCAGCCTTCAGGACACACAGCTCCCAGAAACCAGAGGGGGACACGGGGGATCCGTGGTCAGTTTCCTCCAGTCTGGAGCCCGTGAAGCTCAGGGCAGCAGACCTGCAGGGGAGAGGGAGGAGGGCGCCTCCTTGCCCAGGACCTGATGCCTGCTCCAGGAGGTGCCGAGAGTTGCTTATATGCCCAGGAGCTTAGACCAGTGGTGAGGATTAGTAAGCGTTGAAGGCGCACAGTAACACAGGCTAACTCGGAGCCGAGCTGCTTTCTCTCTCACGTCCAGTTCTGGGGAGGCAGGTCAGGGCTGGTGTGTCCTCGAGTCAGGCGCTCAGGCCCCTTTCATCTTGTTACCCCTGACCTCCATTCTCTGCTTCACCTCGTGCCCAATATGGCTACTCCAGCTCTAGCCATCACATCTGCATCTCAGCTAGCAGGAAGGAGGCAAAGGGCATGCTCTGGCCCTGTAAGTCGTTTCTCCCTGCCTCCCGTTGACCAGAACTCTGTCACCAGGACACACCTTTCTGCAAAGGTTAGAATTTGGGAGTACTGTGCAGAGAAGGGGAGGGGAGGAATGACACTGGGGCAGCCATCTCAGGACACCTGGGGACTGAATGTTGTCTGTGAGGGATTGTGGTCCCATAGCTGTCCTGCCTCAGCTCTGCTCTCCTCTTTAAACATTTCTTAAGCTGGAAACTCATAAGAGGGCACTTCTGCCAAGGTCACCCCTGCCGACCTCTGGGCCACACCTGCCTGGCCACTGTGGACCTCGCCTTGTAATGGAGCAGCTGTGACTCTGTCCCTTTGTGCTCAGGCTCCACGGGCTCCTTATTTGCTGTAAAGACCCATTTTACAGGCTGGTGGCACCGCCGGTAAGTGGCTGTGCTGGGATTTGAACCCAGATCCCGTCACTGGGCTGGGCTTCCACTCTGTCATCGCAGAGGCCTACGGAGCTTGAAACGTCAGCTGGGGCAGAGGGGAAGAGCCAGCCTGGGCCCGCCCCGCGTGGCACCCGGGCAGGGCTGCACATGGACAGTGGGTCTCTCCTGGGTGCCGTCTGTGCGGCAGGATAAACGCGTCCGTTCTGTTTTGTTCTTGGAAAGGGACCTGGCTTCTATTGCTTAAGGGGCAGGCGATGTAGACAGGTCATATGTGGAGCTGAGGGAGTAGCTGGGCTTGGTGTCCCAGAGGACCTGCAGGGTGTGGGTTCACTTGCAGTCACTGAGCTCCACCCATGTCCCGTGACAACTGTGTCAACAGTTCACCACGAAGCCCCGGTTGTGAGCGCTCGGAACCCTTTGTGTGATGACGCTGGCGTGTCACCTGCATTGGTGGCATATGCTGTTTGTTTCGGGGCAGCTGACACTTCAGCAGCAGAGCCCGCTGGCACCAGCCTCGCCTCTCCCGGGAGAACTGGCCTGAGCGGCCAGGGCTCCAAGTCTGACCACAGCGGCAGGACAGGCTCACCGCCCATGTAGCCTGCCGCTCTGGGCGAGCCCACCCTTTGCGCTGCCCAGGCCTCCTTGGCCCCTCCTGGAGCAGCGAGGGGGGCACCGCGGTCACAGGCCGCTGGCCTCGTCCATGCCATAACCAGGCAAGCAGACGCTGTGGCTGGAGGATGCATGAATTCCAAAGGCTTTGATTGGTGAGGCCTGGGTCATGTGTCCACCCCTTGGGATGGAGAGGCCACTCCAAAGGAAGGGAGGAAGTTTTTACTGAAAGAGGGGAAAGGATGCTGAGCACACACAAACCACAGATGTCTGCCATCTGTCACTTAATGAATGCTCACCTGTCTGTCTGTGTTAAGCACCCACAGGAAATGGGGGCCCAGAGAGGGTAAGGAACCTCTCCAAAGGCACCCAGCTTGGAAGTGGCCATGCCCATATTTGAACCAAGATGGTCTTAGGAGCCAGTGCTACATCTTGCCTCACGGGGATCCTTGCGGCTGGTTCACGGTGGGGCTGGCGCTGAAGCGCGAGTCCCGACCGCACTGCAGGGTCCTTTGCCCTTGACCATGGCTGCTGCCTGTGGGAAGAAGGAGGGGAGGGCCCACATTCTCGAAAGTCATCGAGGCCCTGGGCGCTGGTCGTGCCCTTCGCGGCATGGTGACGAGCCAGCGTCTGCTCTGCTGCAGGGAACTACAACCTGGCGAGCGTGCTGCCCACCGCGCCCGACATGGCCCAGCTGAAGCAGGGCGTGCGCTCCGTGGCCGGGAAGCTCTCCGTCTTCGCCAACGGGGTCATGACTTCCATTCAGGTCAGTGCGGCCGGGTGCCGTGGGCTGAGGGAGATGGGCTCGTGGTTTGGAAAATGAGATTTGGATCATTCTTCAACTGCTGGAAAGCGAGACTTGATGTGACTGATTTATATGCTGGCCACTGCATCACCCAGGACTCCATGAAAACCAGAAATTATGGTGTCATGTTTGCTCAAATTTTCTAACATATGACTCCAGGGGAATTGTTGCAGGAATGGTCAGACCATTATCCGCTTTTCCCCTATGTTGGAACAGAGAAATATAAAGAAGAAAATAAAAATTATCTATAATCCCACCTCACAGGGAAAACTTATGTGAATGTTTTGGTATATTTTGTTTTAGTTCTAGACTTCTAGGCATATCTTCTTAAAATTAAAAAAGGATTATATTGTATATATGGTTTTATGTCCTGCTTCTCTCCACGATGTTCCATTATAAGCATTTCCATATAATTAAAAGTTATTCAGAAACCACATTCTGGTGAGTGAAAATATGTAGACTTTATTTAACTGCTCCCCAAGTGGGGTCTTTGATGGAATTTCAGTCTCTTAAATGAGGTGAGGATGGAGCATCCTCAGACGTAACAACTTCGGGCCGTCCGGGTCGCCCGCGAGGCTGATCTCGGGAGCCGTCCTGCTCACGCCATCTTAGAAGGATGCTGCCATTGATGTAAAACCCGGCCCTCAGGAGTAGGACCTCATCTGCGTGGACGCGGGTGCCTCTCAGGGATTCCCAGGGTGTGGGGCCCGCTGTGGCGAGTTCCTGCAGCCTGGGCTCCTGCTGCTGCTAACACAGCCTGTGGTTAGAATTCACAGAGCCCTTTCATGTCCCCTCGGTCAGCTGAGTCCACATCAGTCCTTCCAAGTAGGTGACATCCCAATGTCATGGATGATTATCCCTATTTAAAGGTGAAGAAACAGGCACAGAGAGGTTAAGTTGCTTCTGCAAGATCACTCAGCTGAACCAGAATTTCAGGGTTGAGACTCCGAATGTGTTCCGCTGGCCTCCCGTCGTACTTACCCCCCAGAGGGCTCCCCACTTGGCCCTGCACACCCAGATCCTCTGCTCCCTGCCTCGCATTCCTTCCCACAGCCCAGGGAGCCTCAGACACAGTGGCCACAGGCAGGATGTTGATCCGAGCGGTCCTCAGCACTGGGCAGCCGCGGCTGTGGCAGCGCCCGCTTCAGTCACTGCGTCCTCGGGGGCGGCGTTGGTATCAGATGCCAGGCCCTCGCAGCTTTGTGTCGTTGCCGCGTCAGTTTTGGTAATGCTGAGCGTTCCGCGTATGTGAGAATGAGGAACTGACTGTGTCCGTGAGCTCTCACTGTGGTTCTCTCTCTAGGATCGCTATGGTTCTTAATACTGATGTCTGGGCTCTGTTTCCTGGAGAAATTCCTCTTTAAACGACCCAGTGACCACAACGCAGACTGCAGTGAAGACCAGCCAACATTGCAGATCGTTTTGCTACTTTTTCACATGGTGTATGTACATTACTGATTTTTAATATTTCTTTTGAGAAATTCTTATTTTTAATGTAGTGGAAGCTGTATTGTCATTTCTGGTGTCACTTCCTGCACGTGTCCTCCTTTTGGCATGTCCTCGCTTTATTTCCTGAGAATCTTTAGTCCCTCCAGGGGCCTGGGGACAGGGCTCCCCCGCCTGCCATGGGCCACGAGCCTTCACGTGGGGGTCTTGGTGCTGTGTGGCTCACGGGCTGAGGGCTGCCAGAAGCGGCCGGTGCTCGCTGGGCCTGGAGAAACAAAGCTCACAGCACATGTTTCATTAAAAAGCAGCAAAGAATAAAAACAAGCGACTGAACGTGACTGGCGTCTAATTTGACAGGCTGCATCGCTTGTATTTCCACATGTTAAGGTGATTGCAAAATAATGTTTCAAGTCGTCTGTCCCTTTGTAAATTGTTTATCTTATATGATTTATACATTTCAAAATAATTTCCAGTGAGTGCTTTTAACAAACCTAAGCTTCTGCATCACCGGGGGGATTAATCTTTTGACGGGTATTGCTGTTTGAATTTATGAGAAATGTAAGAGAACTCCCTAAGTGCATTTATTAATCGATCTAGTGTACAGAATTAAAAATGAATAAGGTGAGAAGATGCACCACGGAAAACACCTCAGTATTTGGGAAAATAGTAGTTGTAATTGGGTAGTTTTGTAATATTTTTTTATCTTAATCTTGGTTTTCAAAAAATTATAGAATGTGTATAAATGAATAAAGAAAAATAATTTGGCTGTGTTTTAGACAGCATTAGAATATATTGTTCACAGTAAAATATATGTGAAATTTGATGAACCAGAAATGTGGTTTCAATTGCATATTTTGTGAATCTTTCTTAAAAGCTTAATTTGTAGACATGAATATAATAAAAGCTGCGGCAGACGGTGTGGCCTGCTTTCTTACAGAAGCTTTGTGACGCGTCATCGGGAACGAGGGCTCCTGGTCTCCCGCCAGGGTCCGTCTGAAGGGCACTGCCGTGCCTGCCGGGCTGTTTTTAGCGGGTCTCGTCACTGACCGAGGTGTGGGCCGCAGCTCAGGGCGGGCGTCCTTGCTGAAAGCGAGGGTGTGCAGAGTGGCATCCTGCAAGCCAGGGGCTGCCTAGCGAGAAGCCGCAGCCCGGGGCTCAGGCGCAGGATGCATCGTCTCACGGGCCTGGGGGCCGCGAGTCCGAGTGCCAGGGCCGGCAGGGCGTTTCTGGAGAGCACTGCCCGCTGGCGTGTGCAGGGCTGCCTTCTCTGCCGTGGCCTCACGCGGCCTGTCCTCCGAGGGAGCTGGAGAGCTCTGCTGTCTCTCCCTCTGCTTATAGGGCACCAGCCCTGTGAGATCTGCGCCCCACGCCTATGACCTCATTTAACCTGAATCACGTCCTTAAAGGCCCCAGCTCCAAGGACAGTCACAGCGCGAGTTAGGACTTGGACGCAGGAATTTGAGGGGGACGCAATTCACTCCATATCAGTGTCTGTAAGAAACTCCCACCCGGTTAGCCCTGCTCTGGGCTGGGGCCTGGGCTCTTCCCGTCCCCCGGAAGCCCTCTGAGCAGGTTTTACGCCCATTTTACAGAGGGGGCGAGGGAGGCTCTGCTGAAGGTCGCTGCCTCTCCCTCTGAAGGGGGCCGGGCTTTCTCCTTATCACCCAACTTCCCCGCTGGCAGGACCTCCGCAGCTGCCCCGGGCCTCGCTGGGCTCCTTCTCCACATGAATGCTTTAGGGCACAACTTGTTACCACACTAGGTTTGTTTCTGCCCACCGCCCGGAAAACCAAACCAAGACGACGAGATTGCAGCAGAGAGAGGGTTTACTCACAAGGCAGCCAGCCGAGGAAGAGAGAGCAGGAGTCTCAAATCCACTTCCCTGAAGTAGGGACTCAGGGATGTTTATGGGATGGGGGCAAGGTGGTCTGAAATGTGGGGAGAGGTGACTGGAGGTGAGGAGTGGTGAGGTGATTGATGGTCCGCGCAAGCGTGGTCACACTCCGTGCCTCTTCATACGACCCATGCTCACAAAATGGCGGCATGAGCATGATCTGAGGTGGACTTTTTAGCCTCTTGACGTCAAAAGGTTGCCTGTCGGACATCTGCGTGGGCCCAGTTGATGGGTTGGTGGTCTCAACCGGCCTGAAGTGGACATGGGACTCTAATTCCTGAAGAACAGCTCACACGCCCATTACCATGGCGACCCAGGCTCCAGGGAACTGTTGTCTGTAGGAGCCTGGTGGGAGTCAGAAGGCACATAGCCTAAGGAGCACAGTCAACAATGGGTGCGTTAAACAGATCAAAGCTGTAATCAGTCATTGCAGAAAGGAAAAAACCTTTAGTTCCTAGCTACTTGATCATCAATGGCTGTTTGCCAGTTTCAATCCCACTATTCTTTGATCATTCCTTCTTCTTGAGGGATTGCGGGCAATGAGGAATCCAGCCACTTCCTGCTGAATCGGGGCGTGGATCCTGCTTAGAGGAATGAAACTGCTCGGCACTCATTTGGAAATATTCTCTTGTTCCCAGCTTCCGGTTGACATTTTGCGTCAGTAGAATTTTGTACCTTGCTCAACAGTTTTGGAACCACATCTAAAGTCACATTTTATAATCAAATACTGGACCAGAAGGATAAGAATTATAGACAACCCAAATTTTAACAGTCCCTGAAAAATAGACCTAATCCAGTGGGGCCTCCATCTCATCTCCAGGTGGGGCAGACATCTGGTCTCAGTTCCTGGTCGTCTTTTGTTTTACTGGACGTGCATCAGAGACCAGACCAACACCCTGTACCCTGATCTTTCACTTGTTGCTGTTGATGGCTGTCAGCACAGACTCTCTGCCGGGGGTCATCACATTCCTAAGGGACTCAAAAGAACAAAGTTATCAACATATGGCAGCTGGGAGGGCCCCTAAAATCTACAGAGCATGTCTGGGTTCGTTGCTCGGACGTCATTCGAAGTTACACTGTGGTTTCTTTTCTACAATATGGCTTCCCTTATGGCAAGCTTGTGTTGAGCCCATATCAAACTCTTGAATGCCTTTCAAAGCGGGTGCTGCTCTCAGTGCTTCCCCGTGCCGTCCACTCAGCCACGGGACAGGTGCTGGCAGGACCCCCATCTGGGGGGCTCGTACTCCCTCCCCGAGTGCACATGTGTGTGAATGTGTGTGTGCGTGTGCATTCACGTGTGTGTGTGTGTAACTTTAGTTTGTGTTCCTGGCCCATTTATCCTTGGACCTTGGTGTTTTGTAATCAGTTTGCACAAGTGCTTGCTATAGTAAAGGTGTCAGTTAATTGTTCTCATGAAACACGTTTTGGATCTATTGATTAAAAAGGAACGTGGGGATATGACTGCATGAGGACTGGTGGAAACTGGCCAGGACTGGGCTGCAGGGCTAAGCGGTGGAGCTTTCAAAAGTCTACTGGGTGCTTTTGATCTTGAGAGCAAAGCCAGTAAGGCGGGGGGGCTGTATTCTGAGGAATTGAGAAGGCAAAGGGAGGGGTCATTTTATGTAGCCTTTACCGGAACAAAGTCTCTGTGAAAACGCAGCATTTTTTATCCCCTTGGAGAGCTGCTGGGAATGTGGGCAAACATAAAGAGGATGTGGGTGCTGCCTTGGGGAGGGCGTTCCCGGGAGCTTTACCCACTGCACAGACCCAGGCACTCCTAGGAAGGAGGAGCTGGCCATTGGCCTGGATGACACTGGGGGCAGAGCCAGCATGCACGAAGCTGCACGCCCACCAGAAGGGCCTTGGCTGCACCTCGGCAGCCCGTCTGCTCCCCACCCCCCTTGTTCACGGTCAAACGTGACCCTCCCTTGCAGCCTCCAGGCGCCCCTCAGGAGGGCACCCCAAGTCTGACGCACGGCAGCCAGGGGGTTTCCTCGCTGGCCCCTCCCATCTCATTCAGGGCACACCACTGCCTGCCCCCCACCCCAAACCAGCCAGGGGCTCCATCCCAGAGCACCTTTAACCCCTCTACCTCCTGTTGTAGGCACAGTTTCCAGCCATTTCTTTTGCCACCCTCATTCTGGTTTGCTCTCGACCTTTTCCCTGCCTGCACCCGCTCCCGACATCACAGAGAGCCCGATGGGCCTGGTGCCATGGAAAACAGGTTGCTAAGGGCGGTGGACAAGTGACAACCCCCCAGGACGCACAGTGGGCGGTGGCAGTGGGGCAAGAGGAGGACGTGGGCACCCCGGCATCAGGGTGTGGGCCTGCCACTCACTGGGACTTGGGGTGACTGTGACCTCCCAGGGTCAGATGCTGAGGACCCAGCCCTGCCCCCAGCAGTGCTCTGCACTCAAGATGCGGGGCTGCTGACCTTCTGCCCTGACCCCGAAAACGGCTCTGCTGTCCGTGCTTTCACGGCTCCGATACCACTGTTTGCTCTGTGTCGCATGATCAATTTACAGAGCTCACGTGCGCCCTCCCTTCCCTTCCATTCCAGGCGCATTTTCCTCTGTTTGTAGTTCTTATCATTCTACTTGCCCAGGTCATTTGTCTCACCCAAAATGAGAGCACAGTGGCAGAAACACCAGCCGAGGGCCTGGTGCAGACGATGGATGGACACACAGACGGAGACAGGCACGGCGAGGGAGCAGACATCAGGGCTCTCTAGCCACACAGCCGCCTTTTGCAAGCAACCTCCCTCTGCCTGGTCCCCCTCCCTGTCTGCTGGTCCGTCTCCTGGGCCTGACCCACACCTCCAAGGCAGCTGGGGTTGTTGGGGCGTCCAGTGGGCGAGAGCCATGGCTAAGCATCCCAGCTGTAACTGCCCCCCCCTGCACCCCCACACCCCTGCACCCCTGTACCCCCTGCACCCCCTGTACCCCTTGCACCCCCTGTACCCCTGCACCCCCTGTACCCCTGCACCCGAGCACCCCCTGTACCCCATGTACCCCAGAACCCCCTGTACCCCCTGCACCCCTGTACCCCTGCACCCCCTGCACTCCATCATGGCCTTCTTCCTGACTCCATCCCCACCCCGCCACCTGCACCAGACACGACCTCTGTCTACTGAGCTCCCAGTTTCTCTCTCGCACCCTCTGACCTTCCTGTCACCTGGTTAGCTGTGCCTTTGTCTGCACTACACCCTCCCCAGCGTGGGTGCTGGCTGTGCCCAAAGGAGGCATAGACAGCCAGGGCCGTGTGCTTGCTCAGGCCCCAGGGCTCAGTCTAATTAGGCCATCATCGCTGGGTACTCTCACTGGCATCCAGCTCTCCATGTTCCTGGGGAACGCCTGGGACACCCCTGCCTCACCCGGGCCCCTGCAACGCCCACGGGCAGGCAGCCCCCTCCTTCGCTTCCCACCTCCCCTCTGTGTGGTCCTCCAAGCACGGCCATGGCCTTGGTGAGAGGCACCTGCCAGGCATCTGCCCGGCTGCTCAGCCGCCCTGTCACTGCCCCACCTTCCACGAGCAAACAGCTAACAGGGCTCTGGAGCCACCTCCCACATGTCCCCAGCCCCACAGCCTCCGCCTGACAGGAGGCCCTGCTGTCTCTGGCCAAGAGGACTCTGCAGCCCTGGCAGCCCTCCTCCAGCCTGGCCCCTAGTGGCCCACTCACTGGCACAGAGTGGCCCCTGTGGGGATCAGAATGGGCCCCTCCAAAGTGTGTCTCTTTGGCTTGATCATTTTTAAGAACAAAAGACTCTGAAAGAAACTTTAACCTCCCCCTAACTGCCTAAAAGAATTTAAGATAAAAGGTCTGTCCCGGGACAGGCCAGCAGCACAGATAACTCTGGGTATCCCAGAGGCTGGGAGGGTCCTTACTAAGCCCTCTCTTATCAAAGTTCTGCTTACCAAATATTTGCTTCTCCATCTCCATGTAAATTGCCTTCTCCCCTTTGAAGTCCCCAAACCAACCCCCCAACAGCCTCCCTTGTCTTTAGCTGAAGACGGTATGTAAGCCAGCAGCTCGGCCATTTCGCCAGGTGCTCACTTTCCCTGGGTCTCTCCCAGGTACACATGTTAGAAAGCTCTGTTTGATTTTCTCCTGTTATTCTGTCTCACGTCAATTCAATTCACAGCCCAGCCGGAAGGACCCAGAGGGTAGAGGAAATGTCTTCCTCCCCTCCACCTCGTAACAACACACAGCTGTGTGTCCCCAGCTGAGACCCTCCACTGGCTCCTTTCTGCTCTCCCGAGCCCTGAGCACCTCAGTGTGGCCCGAGACCCCACGGTCTCGCCCCTTCACCCCTCGCAGGCCCTGGGGCAGCCAGGTCTGTCTCTCTCCAGGCTCCTCCACAGTGGTGGCCTCTGCCAGGAAGGAGCCCTCAAAGCGTGGTGATCAAGAGCTGATTCTGGAGGGGTGATGACAGGCCCATCACTTCATCCTGCAAACGGAGAGGAGAGCAGCGCCCAGCACCTCGTAAGTGTAGAGAAGAGGCACAGGAAACGCACGAGCTCACCTGGTGGGGCTCCCAGCACACAGTCGCACGAGGCCTTGACCCTTGGGGGGGGGGGGGGGGGGGGCCTTGCAGGCAGGTGAGGCATCGCGGCCCCTGCACAGAGAAAGCAGCTGAGGCACTCAGTGCCCGGATGTGCCCAGGTCGCGTGGGGGGAAATGATGGGGGTGAGGGCACAGCCTGGGCCTCGCAGTGCAACGCCACCTCACTTGCTCTTTCAAACACCTCCCGGCGCTGTCATGCACGTGTTTGTGCAACCAGCATCCGTGCCCAGCGGGCTCCCTGTGCCCCATCCTGTCCCCCAAACGTGGTCACCACTCAGACCTGCCCTTCTCGCTCCCCACGTTCCTCAGGCTTTGGAGGGGCGTCTGGGGGCCCAAGCACAGCCCCGGTGCCTCCTGTCTGGCTTCGGTGCAGTAAGCATAGGGAGCAACTGTTCCTTTTCCCCCCCAGCCCGGAGGTCCTCCGGCTGGGGCCCTGCAAAATGAGGGTGACGAGAGGCAGATAGATAAGGCACAGAAGGACTGACCTCCACTGCCTTTGACCCCAGGAGAGGCAAATGCCCCAGTCCTTTGGGGTTCCCTGGAGACTGGGCTGTCAGGGAGGGACCTTCCTGCCACCTCTTCGTCAGCCAGGCCCAGCTGAAAGCATCGCCCAAGCTATTGGGAGGGTGGCAGGCTGGGCCACAGATCAGAGAAGGTTCCAGGGCCGTGGGAACACTGCACAGTCTCTGTGGAGCCTCTCCAATTCCTCCAGGCTTGGGTGTGGGGCGAACAGAGACCTCAGGCACAGGAGTCCCCATCACGGGAAGTGTCGCTCCCCGCTGTTTCAGTTACCTGCGGTCAGCTGCAGTCTGGAGGCACACGGTCCTCCCGACTGTCATCAGAAGGTCACTAGCAGCCTCACGCTCCGTCCCAGTGCCAGCCGCACTCCCCCGACTCGTCTTCTCATCCCGTGGGCACTGTGTCCTCCCACAGCACGAGAAAAAGCGTGAGTGCAGCACAAGAAGATGTTTTCAGAGAGAGAGACCGCATTGACATAACTTTTATTACAGTATATTGTTACGATTGTTCTATTTTATTATTAGTTATTGTTAATCTCTTACTGTGCCTAATTTATAAATTAAACTTTGTCATAGGTATGTATGTGCAGAAAAAAACATAGTCCATATGGGCTTCAGTACTATCCGTGGCTTCAGGCGTCCACTGGGGGTCTTGGAACGTACCCCCTGCAGATAAGGGGGGATGGCCGTACCTGTTTGTAGAACCGCAGGCAGTCGCTGTGGGGGACTCTGGGGCTTCAGCAGTTTTTCACAGCTGAATCGCGGCACAGGGACATAGACACAGAAAGAGAAGACTCCGGAGGTGGTGTGGGGGGAGGAGAGAACTTGGGACTGGGGCCTGGGCGTGTGGGTGGGGGAGGGGGGCAGAGTGAGGGAGTGTTAGAAAAAAGAAGAGGAAATTGGAGAAATTGTGCTGTGGTGTCTCACTTCGTGAATCTTCTATAAAACCATTATTCACCAAAGCTCTTTTCTTTTTCTTTTTTTTTGCTGAGGAAGATTTGCCCTGAGCTAACATCTATGCCAATCTTCTCTATTTTTTAGTATGTAGACCTCCAGCAGAGCATGGCTGCTAACAGAGTAGTGTAGGTCAGCACCTAGGAACAGAACCCGGGCTGCTGAAGCAGAGCACACTGAACTTAACCCCTAGGCCATGGGGCTGGCCCACCAAAGCTTTTGTTTTGTTTATGGGGGTTGGGAGAAAGATTGTGAGAAGTGTTGAGGGTGGCCTCCAGGTGGGGTGAGTGAGAACAGAGGCTGCCATGGGGGTCCTCCTAGACCCCATGGAGGGGTTGGGCAGTGAAACGGGAACATGGAGATGGCAGAGATGCAGTGGGGGCCTGGGAAATGCCAGGAAGCAGGAGCTCTAGCACCAGCAGCACTTCCTCCGTGTCTCCCGCCGCCTGGCTTCCTTTTTCACTGCAGATTCCCTCCTTCACCACTCAGGAGCAGGACTGCGCACAGCTCCTGAACGTTCCTCTTGCATCTCCCTCTACACAAGCCCTACTGGCTCCAGGCTAGAATGAACTCCCAGGAAAGGGCTCTGATTGCCTGTGCTCCAGTCAGGACCCGCCCCCCTGACCAATCAAGAATGGCCTGAGGGTGGTGTCACATAAGAGCTGGTGCTCTTGTGGGAAGCGGCACAGTTGAGTGGGGGTGTTCCTGGGAGAAGGGGGAAGGGCTCAGGGCGGCAGAATGGCAGGCGCCCTCCGGAGGGAGGGGCCACATTGCCTGAGCATCTGCGTCATCTCTGAGCCCCTGTAAAACATTCTCACCCACCACTCACAGATGAAGAGACCAAGGCGTGGAGAGGCTACAGGATGGCACAGCTAGTGAACAGGAGAGCAAGGATCAGAACCCGGGTCTTTGGGTGCCAAAGCCTGGGCCCGTTGCACCTTCCCAGCCTCTCCTACCCTGCTGATCATAAGGACTGAAGGCGGAGACCACGCTGGGTCTCTCCTGCCGTCGCCAGAGCACAGGGCTTCTCCACGCTGGGTCTGGACAGATCCCGAGTTTTCTCTCCAGGGGTCCTCTGGGGAGTTGGCACTGCTAGAGAAAGAGCAACAAACCCATTTGTTACATAAATCTCACAAATGTACAACGTAAGGTTGATAATGCCACTCACAGAAATCTCCCACGTTCTTAATCATTGTGTCCTCAGAGGTTGCATTTGGGTGACAAGGACCGTCCTGGCAAGTTCTCCTCGGCTGACATATTTTCATGTCATTTGCCTGTTAGAGTTTGCATGTGTGGAATTTGCCTTTTCTTTGTTACTATGGTATTGCATTCTAGCCTCAAAACTCTGAGCTGGAATACATGGCTCAAAGCGTGACTGTGGGGTGTGATGAGACCTGTAAATTCGACCACTCAGAAGGATGGCGGCAACAAACATGGGAGCAGGAGAGCACGGCAAACGCAGAGTGGATCTTCGTGTTCTGGGCCAGCAAATCCACAGGTGCCACGCTTCCATGAGGCCCCTGGGACAGGAGAGACAAGTAGCAGGGATGACAATGAGGGGCTGACATTGGTTTCGTTGGCTCTGTCCAGCCCTGGCTCCCAGGGCAGGGACTGACGCAACGGCGGCGCCAGGTGTGTCAAAGTGGTGGGGGCTTATTTTCAAAGATGGTACCGGGGCTTCTCCAGGTAACCCATTGGGTTGTTTCTGGAAGAGGCAAAATATAATAGTTCTTTCCAGCACAAAACTGATTAATTTTGACACTAAAGGCAGAGAGGATGTCCAAACCGTTGAGATACCATTCACTGCTCCATTCCTTCTCGCAAGAAGAGAGAAA